CACCTCTGGCCTCCACTCCAGTCCTTGTATGCATAGATAAAATAAAGGTTGAAAAAAGAAAATAGGCCCTCCCTGGTGGCTCAGTGGGTTAGGAGGCAGCACTGCAAGAGTGCCACAGTGGCTTCAGTGTGAGTTCAATACCCCACCCTGGAGGTGACCCACATGACGTGGCAGACCTCTCCTGACCTGCCCGCTGCGCCCCTCAACAGTGTACTTCATTGATCTGCCTGTTCTGCTTCCCACTTTGACTCTGGTGAATGCTCTTACTGTCCCTGAACCTCTGACTTGTACCCCAGTTCTGTATGCATAGATAAATAAATCTTTTTTAGAAAGAAAAGATTTTTACTTATTTGACTTGTTAGGTATTTTCTACTAGTAGAAATCTGTGTGACACTTACTTCTTCCATTATTTTTACAGATTGACTTTGCTTATAATATGGATTAAATCCTAATTTTAAAGGGATATAATGCTGTAATTTTGGTCATCCTGTGAACTTATATGAATGGCAAAGCCTATACTGTCAACTGAATGGTGTGTTCTTCATGTGGGTCCCTTCAGAATATTACAAATGGGGACACAGACCTTTGAAAGAATGCATGTTAATGCTTGTTGGTGATCATTCAGCATTCAGCTCACCCATTCAAAGAATGTGAGGGGTCAGAGGAGGAATTTATGGTTTGGAATTTCCCAAAGCCAGATAGCATTAGCATGAGAGGCTCTATTGGCCCAAGCCTAAGTAGAATTTCAAAGTTGAAATTTTCTTATTTTCATCATCATTAAGGATGGTAATTTGATACCAGTCTTACTTACTGTGAGGTTCTTTGCTCTTCTCCCTTACAGGTGTTAGGTAAGCAGGCTCGGCTTGGCATGATCTGCTGCCAAACAAGTCTCGCTGTCCTTAGTGTACTTTTCCTAAGAGCTGAATTTTGTTTTTAGAATAGTTTTCTGAAGCTATCTAAAATCTGAGATCACAGGAAAATTCCTTTTGAAGTGGTTTTGTTAATGAGTAAAGCGGAATATTTTTTAAAAGACTCACATGAACAGGCACTGTTGATTCAGGTTACAGACTGCTTCCGGTGATGACGGTGACGAGCATGATTTCATCATTCAAGCCTCCCATTAGCCCTAGGAAGTGGTCATTTTTCACTGAGTTTCTGGATGACGAACCTGTCCTGAATGATTAAGAAATTACCTGAGACCAGACAACTAGGAGTGACTGGATGGAGCTTTGGCCTTGTGCTCCTGGACCCTTGGATGCTGAGCTTTCTCCCATCTGCTTTCTCAGAGCTCCCAGGGGTGCACAAGAGTGTGACATCTATTATTCCTGCTCAGAGGATCTTGGAGGTGACCAGGTGCTGTGGGAGATCAGATGGTTGTGCAAAGACTTCAGAGGACTTTTTTTTAAGGACAACTTT